ACAGCATGTAAACATATAATATAAGCTCTGGCAGACTTGGTTCTATGGTAGGTCTTAAAGGGTTAATTTTCTTGTGTGTCAGTTTCGGCTTTCTTGTTTTGTTTATATAGAATAAAAATGCCATATTTAGTGGACCTGTTTCCTTTCGCCTCAGCTCCTCATTGCGTGTATCTGAGATCAATTGTGGAGATTGTGAGAAAGATGGCATCTTCCACCAGTATGCTTATGAGGCTTCCTCAACTCGCCTGTGTGACACATCAGGCTACTGGACACCTGACGAAGCAACAGGTCAGTCAAAACATGCTTTTTGTGATTTTCTGCACAAAAGGATAGAATTTCCTTTTTTTATATCTGCATATTGAAAACAAGCTGGATCTCAGAGATAATAAATGGTTCAGAATTGTAGACTTTTACTTTTGTTGTTAACAGCTGCACACAGAAATATATAAATCCTTTTCCTTGGGTCAGTTTGAATATAAACACTAGTGAATATGGGACTTTGCTGAAGCCTCAGGTAAAGTTTTTGGTAATAAAAAAATTGCAGGTTAACTGAGGAATATATTTATGTTACACATCCGTCCGCACGTTCACCAAGCTGAATGTACGCCAAATACATTTTTGGCGTATATTCAGCCCCCCCTTTACCCCCAGACGCACACACAGAAACACACACATCTGTAACTTTTAGGTGCGTGCGAGGCTAATGGCTGCTGGAAAAAGAAAAAGCAAAAAAAAATCATTAAATGATAATTACCTCAGCTACAGACCTCTCTGTGTCTGTCTTGTTTTAGCCAAAGCGAGAACGAGGATTATTAACGTAAGCGTCTACTCTGGGTAATGTTTTGGTGCTCTTCAAACATTCAACCTCCGTCATAAACCAAAGAAAGTGCATCTTGTAGCACTGTACATTGAAACATTAGCTTCCTGCAAGCACATGGTCCTTGTTATTCCAATCATAAATCCTCGAGAAGCACGATTTCCTTTGACATGATGTATAGGGTGTGGAGGAAAGAAACAAGAAGGAATAAAAGGAAACAAGAAAGCAAAGTGAATGAAAACGATGAGAAAGAAAAAAGGCAAATACTGAAAGAGCAAATGCATGAACACAATAACACTTTTCCATCTCTTTCATGAAAACTCTGACCAGATATGTGGAAATCCTCTGCTGGAATTTATGCTTTGAAAACAAGCGGCTAGGAAGAACAGGGGGATTACTGCTCCCGCATTCGCTGCGGGACCATAATGATGATAAAGGGTCAATTACAGTCTTACTCTAAACAGTGGTATGTGCACAGCTGAGGAGACAGCCAGTCTGCTGGCTTCCCTTGCTCCCTTTTCACTCTGTCCCACAGATGTGTGGGTCACTTTGTCAGCCAACGGAGATGGGCAATAACATATTCAGTGTGGAGAGGCAGAGGGGAAGTTGGACAAACTCGTTGCGGACACCATAGCTGGCAACCCAAAACACAAGTTTAAAGGCAAAAACACTATTGGCTCAAATTGTTGGCAAAAGTGACCAAGTACATCTCCTCAGAACGCTTCCTGTGCCAGTATTGACTGGTTTAAGTCCATTTTCAGGCTGAGGGAAAACACGGAATTGTTTGGAAGCATGCACCGCTGCTGTCAGAGATTAAACTGCTTAATGTGCTTAATACAGAGTTTTATTTCAAAATGAGAAGGTGTAAAGTTTGCTTTTAAGGCTGCCTCGTGTTAACTGTGCTGTCGAGATCAGAAAAAAAGATGGATGTTTGAAGTTCTGTAAAAAATCTTTTCACACGGTAGAAATGTGCAAGGAAAAAAAGAAATAATAGGGATCTCAAAATAATAATTGAGCGCACATGTCTTGATGCATGTTCAATCATCCAGGTAAGTAAATCCCCGAAAGTTGATTCTGTTCATCTGGACG